TTTTTTTAAAGAGCGGGTAGGGGAATAGTCAATTATATCTTTGTCTGGTGCTCAGTAAATAGGCACTTTACATAAGGTAATGTGAATATAGAGTAGCTATCTCCATAGATATTTAACCTTTTATCTGTAGGTATCTTCTTAGGAACAACAAAAAAAGGCAGTTTCTTGCGTGATCAGCTCTCAGCTTAATTGTTTTCTTTTGGCAGAGTGAATTGGTGTCCCAAGTTTCTATTTTCCATTCACAGAAGCTATTTTGTTGTGGACTTTCATGTTCCTAGTTCTTCCTGATTCTAATCCTGCAGCCATGGTGGATTGGTTTGCTGAGAAATTGCCTCTAGATTAGGGAGCGACCAGCAAAGGGCAGATGGTGTGAGGAACGTGGATGTGAGCTGGAATCACAGTTCTCGTTCTTCTGGGTCTGGGGGCTTTAATGAGTCACTAACTCTTGAAGCCAGTGCTCGCCAAACTTTTTGGCACCAGGCACCGGTTTCGTGGAAGACCATTTTTCCGCGGAAGAGGTTGGGGAATGATTTTGGGATGAAACTGTTCCACCTCAGATCATCAGATCCCAGGGAGTGTGGAGCCTGGATCCCTTGCATGTGCAGTTCACAATGGGGTTCACGCTCCTATGAGATTCTAATGCTGCCCATCCCACAGGAGGTGGAGCTCAGGCAGGAAGTAACACTAACTGGCCTGCTGCTCGCCTCCTGCTGTGTGGCCTAACAGGCCAGGGACAGGTACCTGTCTGTAGTCTGGGGGTTGAGGATACCTGCTCTAAGTCATATCCTGACCATAGAATGGTAAGGACACATAGGCTTCACGGGGTGCATGTGAGGCTTAAGTAAGCATATGAAAAGAGGATAAAGTGCTGTAAAGACACATGAATGCAGCTGTAAAATCCCCCACACCCCTCTCACCCCTCTCTTTCTGCACTCCCCTAGTGGTGTTGGAAAGTACCTATATCGGATTGTCTTCCTTCATTTTTCTTTAGATCCTACTTTTCAAAAATTTCAGTTGTCTCCACAGCCCTGAAAAACAAACTTCTTAAAGAATCATGTAATGTGGTTAGATTTGCCCAACTTATTCCATTAAATTGGTAGGAAGGATGCTTGGAGTGTGTAAAACAATTACCTTGAGCTTTGTTAAGCCCTTCGTTTCTCCTCCTGAGTGCGTAGGAACCTGTCCTAGTGCTCACCACGTAGCACTGACATTTCTATTTTAAAATCTGTGAGGGCAGATGTTAATTCTGCAAGGGCAGGGTGATGCCGACCTTGCTCACAGCTTGATCTCCAGTGTGGCGTACATAGCTAGTGAAAAACTGACAAAATGCATTAAGCACGTAGTAGGTGGTGTGACAAGAGCAATCTAAACCCATAGTGGGGGCTTGTGAGGGTGGCTACTCCCACCTTGGTAACCTTGTAAACTATTGGGAACCAATGATTCCCGATCTCTTCAAATAACTAAAGTATTAGGTATTCAGGCCTAAGACATTTTGATCTTTATTTTATACAGCTCTGAACAAACCAGGTCTGAAGAGGCAAGTAAAAAAAACCTCCCTGATGTGTGTGTGTGTGTCCTTTAAAAAATGATAAGGGGGAGGCTGGACATGGTGGCTAATGTCTGTAATCCCAGGACTTTGGGAGGCCAAGATGGGGGATCGCTTGAGTCCAGGAGTTTGAGACCAGCTTGGGCAACATGGTGAAACCCCATTGCTACAAAAAATACAATAATTAGCTAGGTGTGGTGGTATGCGCCTGCAGTCCCAGCTATTTGAGAAGCTGAGTTGGGAGGATTGCTTGAGCCGAAGAGGTCAAGGCTGCAGTGAGCCTTGATCATACCACTGCACTCCAGCCTGGGCAACAGAGTGAGACGCTGTCTCAAAAACAAACAAACCACAAAACAAATTATGATAAGGTTAGAGTCCCCCCACCCCCGACCTTTTTCTATGCCCAAAGTAAATATTTGTTGAAATACAACCTCTTCTGAAAAGATAGACATCACATTGTGAGACATGTGATTTGTTAAAATGCCATCACAACCTGTTTAAAATCAGTAGCCATAGTATCTATATAATCTATGTCACCTTCATCAGTTTAAATTTAAGTCTCCATCAGGTTAAATAATTTGTCTTTTTCAGTTTAAAACTTAAGATCCCATGAAGTTGGACAATTTCCAGTCTCTGTCATCTGAAAATCAGCAATGAATGAAAAGGAGGCTTTAAGATGATCGGAATCCTAGAAGCTCTTCCCTTTGCAATAACAAGCTAATCCAATCAGTTCAGTTTAGCAAATAATAAATTTATTAGGTGCCTACAAGTACAAAATACTGAAAGCTGCTGCAGGGGATTATAAAGATGTGTAGGAGACGAGCCCTGCCCTCAAAAAGCTTACAATCTAGACAATTAGTCACACAAATAAGTTGTGATGGCGCTCTAATTGACCTCAGCAGAGTTCTTGAAAATGTTCATATCCTTCAAATTTTTCTTTTGTCAAATTAAATAGTGGGAAAGAGACCTTTTGTGGTATTCGTCGGCGAGCCTAACTCTGCTTGCGAGCATCTTTCTGCTGTTGCACGTTCTTGTCATCCTCTCAGCGTCGTTTCCTAACTGGACCTTTGTTTGGAGAGAATCTCCGTGCTTCCTGAACCTTCACCAGGGTTTCCTGTTGGGAGTGGGTGGCTCAGTTGCAGTTTGGCCTTGGAATGATTTGCAGTCCGATTTTTCCTTCAGCAAATCACTCTTTTGATTGTAGCTGATGCTAAAATGCTATGCTTTGCAATATGTGGTTTTAAGGGTGGGAGTGAGATGCAATATTAAGGAAGGCAGCCCAGACTTTTCCCTTAAACATTTAATAGTGCACTTATTGATTATATTCTGTACAGATATAGAGCAAGTTATAAACCTCTTCCTTTTATTTATTTTCTTCACTTAGACTGTATTCACGTAAAGTGTATTTACAATAAGGAGAAAAAAGCCTTGAGGTACAAAACCCAAAAGAATATCTGAGGTATAAATACAAGTATATCTTAAATAATAATCTTTATCATGCTTTATCTATGTTTGAAAGCACAGTGGACATGTTTCTTAATAGAATGGTATATACAACATACAATCTTACAAATCTGGAAGCCATCAAAATTGAATATCCAAGTATATCTTCATGAGGAACACTGATATCCAAAATACTCAAATTTTAAAACTCTAATCTGACCCCCTGCCCCGAAATTCTTCAAAGAACCTTTGAAATAACACTGAAAATGGTAACTACATTATAACAAAATAAAAATCCTTCTTACAACTCTCATTCATACATTATTCACTTTTGATCCATACAAAATAAATTTACTAATACTGTCTCTTGAGTCAATCCTTACCATTACAGTAAAACCTGAATAAAGACCACCCTTCTAAAAAACTTCACTGGTTTGAGTTGGTTTTCTTGTTGTTTTTTACTATGATTCCTATTTTTCATTACCACTTAAATATATTTCAAGGGCATTCTAAAGGAAAAAAAAGAAAGAAATGTAGGAAAAATAAAATAAGACAAAAAGTCATAAAACCAGAAAACCTATTGATAAGAACAAACCCAATTAATAAACACATGTGGCTTTCGGGAATGCTGTTAACAACCAAAGGCGGGGGAAAAAGCCTTTCGTAGGTGGGTTAAATTTACAGGGATTTCCTTGGGCCACACAGTTTCCTACATTCCCAAACATAGTGTCTTAAAGCGTTTCTGTTACAAACACAAAAATGCAAAGAATTCTAACAGGGAAAAAGTTTTGATGCTTGATTTAAGAGTAAGTGTTATCACGTTCAGTTTTTACATCTCAACTTAAACAAAACAAAACCCTGTGGATCAGAGCCAGTAAGGTCAGAGGGAGTAGTTCATCCCTGAACTAATCCATACTGGTTAAAACTACATCACTACTTGCAATCAGGTCTAAAAAGAAACTGCATTGGAAATGGGTGTCAGAGCCAATCTATTACAATCAAAGTACAAAAGAGGTTGGTGGAGAAGGAATATGCTTAGTAACTTGGAAAAAAACCAACAAAGCATAAACGGACAAGGGTGTTGGGCCCCCTTTCTGGGTGGATTCACGGGTAGTCAGATATTCCAGGTTAAACTGAACCTGACGCATCAATCTCCTTCTTGGAGGTGTCTCAGTGTGCCAGACACTGAATCCATCTTAGACATCTATTGCCATTCAACCAGCAACAAACACACATTCACACTCCTCTGTGCAAACCTTTCTTTGCTCATCTTGGTGAGAAAACACGTCAAAGAGTACCAGCTATTCCAGTGGATACACCAGTCCCTCAACACACTGCAAATAAAGCGACACAGGTACGCATACACCGATATCACGAGAGAATGAAGTATCTTCATTATCTTCCATAATGTATTTAAAGAGTTTTGCTTCTCAGAAGCAATTTGAATAAGAATACAAATACATTTTTTTTGCACAGTCTTACATATTCCAGTCAAGGTCTATGAATACAGACCCTCAACAAACAGGAAGCAGCTTTAAAAATGTATCAAATTGCTATAGTCAATTCCTACACTCCAGCACGTAGTTTTCTTTGTTTCAGGATTAGACACAGAACCCATTCTTCAAGGACTGGCCAAGGTTCTAGAAACAAACACCCTGGTGGTGGAAGCGGCTGCTTTGCTTCAGTGATCACCTAGATTTGGTGTCTTTGGTTTCAGTGTTCTGGTTACTGAAGGAATCCCGGATCTTTACAACTTCAGCTGCACACAAATGTCCAAAAGATTTTGTGTACCACTCTGGCATGTGGCCCCTATCAGAGAAAAGAAAGAAAAGCAGATGAATCATTTAAGTTAGAAAGCACGGAAATAAAATGAGAAACGTCTGTTTGCTAGTTCAAATGCATAAAATCTATCAGTTCCTGTGGCTTTGAATTCATGGCCGAGCTACCATATTTGCTTTGCTTTAGAACTACATTTTCTAAGGGATCCAAATTAGGAAGTGGTCGCTGGAAGACCAACAAACATGAAATGCTACTGTATAAACACCACTCTTCATGAAGTCACCAGGAAACAATGATGTGTTCATTTAAGGCATTCTTTGCATTAGACAAAAAGTCTGAATTTCCTTCGTGACCCTCACCATATAAAAAAAATCGGAATCAGAACATACCTTAAGTCAGCTCTGCACATGTAGGTGAGTTTGGATTTTCCTGGCCCACAGGGTTCAATCAAATACCTGGACAAGAGTACATTAACCCTCACACCCACCACAGGAGCCCGATCGTGATCCACGGAGGTTAGTAAAAGGGCACACGCTCCTTTGGGTAAATTAGTCCTCCAGGTCCTGTAGAGACAAAACCAGAGGCGGAAATGATGCAATTTCATAGAAGCCAAGTTTAAAATCATGCTGCACTCTTCCCTATTTGCAGTGGGGTGACGGGTCAGGCTCAGTGGCTGTGCTGTGTGGCCCAGGCCTAGATAAATGGCATCCTCTAAGCTACTTGCTATGGTGTACATGTGTTCCCCAAAAAGCATGTGCTGGAAACTGAATCCCCAGCCGGGCGCGGTGGCTCAAGCCTGTAATCCCAGCACTTTGGGAGGCCGAGACGGGCGGATCAC